ATTCATTTCTCCTCAATAGGATCTAGTGCTCCAGCTGTACGTCTCGAGGTCCTCGACAAAATCCAGAGAAGAATATGCAATATCATAGGTCCTGATCTGGGATCAAGTTTACACCACCATCGCTATACCACAGACGCCCCGTGGCCTCCCCCTGTCTCTTCTACAAGTATTTTCACGGAAACTGTTCCGACGAGCTACTTTCGCTGGTTACCGGGTTTCATGAATTTAAGTGAGCTAACAGGCTGGCATCTCGGTCCCACCCTTTTACTGTCAAAACGGTTAAATGTAACCGTCCCTTCTTCTCAAACAGCTTCTTCTTCCGCACTTCCCGACTGTGGAACTCCGTTCCCCTTACTTACTTCCCCGATGACTATAATCTTTAAATATTCAAGTGTAATGTCAATCGACATCCGACACCCTGAGCTTTTATCCCGTCCTTCTCTGTTTTCTTTCCCCAAACATGCATCTTTACTCTCGTTTTCAATCCCCTGTAACCCCTTGCGTGCTAGTGGCACTCCCACTTTGCTTGGGGTGAATTGCTTTGAAAAAAAAGAATTATGTTATGCTGTTAACATTGCAATTTCAAATAGATTGACGTTTTTAAGCTTCGTAGCTTAACGAATCTTTTCAACTTTTATGACAATTCCATTAACAAACGATACGAAATTTGTGAAGTGCTGATGGTGAGAGCTGTCTAATGCTTCACTTTGAGAAATTGAACCGGTTTTCTACCTTTTGAAATCATTCTCTCGTCCTTTGCAAAATTCATACAATCATTGCGAGATCGATATCAAATTTATTCTACTATTAACTGAATAGAGATGATTATCCAAATGGATTTGTAAATGACCGCTTCGAAACTGTTGTGGTTTGTCTTCTAAGTCAATCTCACCTTAACTGTTTTGCAACCAACAAAACTATCTCCGTTGCAGTTTTCATTCGTCTTCTTTATTTTAGCCGCCATCTTACACAGTTTAAATGAACGTCGCGTATCCTATTTGACGCTATTTTTCAGTTCGATTTTTGTTTGCTAAACATAATAAAGTGACACTAGATATGATATTCGACATCATATCTGAAACCATTTGGAACACTAAATCCCGAATGTTAAGGAAAATCGATCTTGGTCAGTACCTAGATGGGTGACCACTTGGAAATATCAGGTGCTGTGACATTGGATGTATGGGTGACGTGGCCCGAATTAATGGCCCGAAATTAAGGAAAAACAATTAAAGTTTCTAGAGTATATAATGATGAAAGAGGGTTGGGAAACTTTGATACGCACAGAACATGCTGAAGGCAGGAAGGACGGAGGAAGAACAGAGGAAGTCTGCGATTAATCTACTTAAGTTTTCTTGTAAATGGTTAGCAGAACAAGAGTTGAGTGACATTTACAAAGAGTTTCAAATGACAGAAAGTTGTGGACAATAAATGTCATATGGAATAAGAATTAATGGACAGAATTATAATATGCCTAAATACGGGCAGCTCGAGTTAGCAAGCTTGTTTTTCTAAAACGATTACGACTGAGTAGTGAGTTCGATCCTCGACTGGGTACCCGCCTACTTTCGGTCTTTTGCCACATCTAAGCTACGTTTGGAAAATCACTGTAATATTCGTAAATAATGACATGATTGAAATTATGTTTTAAAAGAGAATCAAGGACACCAGTAATTTTAAGAATAAGAAAAATCACAGTAATGATTAACAAACACATGCTAAATTAGTAAAATAATTTCAAGAACAGATAACATAAAACACAGGAGAATCAGCTCAGCTAATTACGCCCGTGGCTATGTTAACTGATTATACTGTAATATAAACCCAGAAAAGGTTTTTATTTCTATTAACAACACAAAATTTTAACTTCTTTATATTTAAAGTTTTCACTGCGTTTTAGCCAGACGGACATTAAAACACAGTCTCAAAATGCATAATCCTTCATCTGAGTACTGTACAGGAAAAAAAATTGAGAAGACCTACTGAGACGACACGAGAAGACATTTCATTTTCTCCGCGGTAGGCCATTTTGACTTCCGCTAACCTTTTCTCGAAGGATCTGAAATATTTTTCTTGAATGTCAAATGTTTCAAAACAGAATCATAGATTTTGGAGTAGAGAAGAAAATAAAGAGAAAGAGTACCCGAGAAAGAAAGCAAAATTCTTAGAACTAAGAAACGGTTAAAAAAGCCAAAACAATGAGTCGAAATCATCTGTTTTGATATGATTTAGAGAAAATTTGTTCCGATGCAAAGCTTTTTTTTTTTTTTTTTAAAGAGCACCCCAAGAGCGTTAAATTAAAAATCAGTTAATCTTAGTCACAGACCGCAAAATCAATTTCAATGGCTTTTGAGATCAGCGATTTATTTAAGATCAAAAGGTACATTTACTTAAGATGATGCTCTTCATATTCAAAATAGACTACAGTATTTTTTTTTACTCATGTTTTCCCAATACAATTCCCAAGCGCCACTCAAAGTAGAGGGTTACTGTGTTGTATGAGCTTAAAAGGTAAGATGTTGAGTTCATGAAGTAGAAAAGATGATGGTTAAGCCTAAAGTTGAAGATGTCAAGATTGTAGTGATCGAGAAAACATCCTACCGGGAATCTGTTCCACAATGCAGCAGTTCTTTGTAAGAAGCTTTCTGGGTGGAACTTCCTCCTTACTAATGGAATACAAAGGGAATGGGGATGATTCATCCGCGTGTATATAGCATGCCGGGCTCCAGTGGTAAAAACCCAGGCTGGTGGGTCTAAAGTTTGTAGCTCGTCAAAACACATTCCATGGAAATAGCGATAGAACAGAGAGGAGCTCGCCACGTTTCATCTGTCGGAAAAGAGATGTATTTTTGAAAATAATTCATCACTCAAAAGGCGGGGGTAGACGCTTTTGGACTCGATAAGGAGTTTGATAAAGGCAGGCAAGTGAGCGACGGGAAATTATGTCTTTTTAATAAATGCGAAATTAATCGAGGGGGGGGATTTATCGTTGTGTATGTGGCATGGTGGGTCCTAAAGCTCCCCTAGCAAGCTTTCTCTTTCTAACCCTCAGAGTCAATACAGCCACGCCCATACCTCTCATATAATATAGCGGATAAGATAAAGAAATCGTCCCTTGTTGTCACAATCTGTGAAAGTACCATTTTCAAAACTGTACCTCATAATGTGTTAAAGAAATATCAACGATCTTTTCTTCTGATTATAATTAGTATTTCAAGTTCATATTTAGAACTTCGTCGTTGTTTACATGTTCTGTCTATGGTAATCTCAGAACATCCTTATCTCTTCTTCATATGCAAGGGCATTGTTTAGCATTCATTGGTCTATAGAAGGATTTATTTTTACATAGGAGTTAACTGCTCTTTTCTTCATTTCTAGCTATATTTCCTATATTTTTTATTAATTTAAAAATCTGAGTATCTCCTCTCCTTTCTATGTATGTTAATTGATTGATTCATTTTCTACGGGGTATCAACCCTTTGCAGATTACCTAAAGCCAGAAGATATATTTAGATTGTAAGAATTTATTTTAATATAATAATGATTAGTCATACAAGTATTACTAATTAACCCATAGCTGGGGAGATGAAGTGGATTCATACTTTTCCCAAGGATATTTCATATTAAGTGAATATAACTCCCCCCTCGGTTAACAATATCAATCAATCAGCCATGAAACTCATCAGATTTAACAGGGGATTCTTTTTGTACAATGTGTTGGAAGTTAGACAGACTATTACTGCAAAACTTTACATGTCGTATCTGGCCATTTTGTAAGCGAAAATATCCTTTTTCAGAGCAAAGAAATTTACCTACATGACCATAAAGTTTTTTCCTCTTTATTTTACTAAATGTTAACCTAATATAAATCCACACATGATAGATAGGATGAGATAGGTTCACTTATCGTCAAGTTTACATTCCTCTCCGGTTTGATTCCTGTTCAAGATTGCGTTTCCAGTTTCTTCTAAGTTCTACTTCAACTCTATACTTCTTAAGTCTTCGCCAAAACTCTCAAATTTTATTTACTACTCATTTATTCTCAATACGAGTAGATAGTTTCGCCTGACGTCCATTTCACACTCCTCCCCTGTCTTTTGAACAGAATTAGAGGTTTATCACTTGTTTGCTGTTCCATTCTGTAGTGTCATCAGCTGAGATCTTTACAGCCAAGTTCCCCCACACCCCGGCTATATTCACATAGTTGGATCAACCGTATAACCTACGTATTCCTTTCGTAAGCAAGAAGTTCCAAACAGAAGTCTTCTTCAATATATCGACTACTTTGCAGTACAGACTCCCGCGGGTATACTTCCACTAACACTATCATTTTAACCACATCAAATCAAGAATCAATCGTTATCTATCATACATATCCTCATAATCTTTTCATTATTTTTCTATCGCATACATCATACAGTTAACATGTGCCTTCGGCATCTCATTAGTAAGATTTTAGTAAAAAATCAAAAACAAACAAAATAGTTATCTCATTTTGAATATTAGGTATTTAACGATTCTATTTTTACGACTTATCAACCATTGCAGCTTATTTAAAACCAGAAAATATTTTTAGGTTGAAAGCATTTTTCTCTGAGATAATAATAATTTAGTGATACAAGTATCACTGATTAACCCATAGCTGGGGATAGAAGAGGTGGGTTCACGCCTTTCGCAAGTGTATTTGCGCCTAAGTGAATATATCGGACCCAACTGAAATTTGAACTCGCCTCTCCGATTAACAATTGCAAACGATTACATATTATACCAACCGCACACACACAAACTTAAAAATGTCACTCAGTCATTATTCTGCCAACCATTTACAAGAAAACTTGTTGAGTAGGTTAATAGCCGACTTCCTCCGTCCCTTTTGCCTTTAGCATGTTCTGTGAGTATCAAAGTTTCCCAACCTTCTTTCATCATTATATACTCTAGAAATTTTAACTGATTTTCCTTAATTCCGGACCATTAATCATTACATCACCAGCATATACAAGCTTACAGCACCTGATATTCCCAAGTGGTCACCCATCTAGTTACTGAACGGGCTCGATGTTATTTAACTTCGGTGATCGTACGGGAACCGGTGTTTCCAAATGATGCGGCCGCAAACTTAGTTTTTGAAAGGGAGATTTTTAAAATCTTTACGATTTCGACTATTTTATAATGACTATAACATTAAATGTCATTGTAGTTTCTTTTCTTTTCTTAAAACTTTTATAATGACAGTATGGTGGAGTAATGGATAGCTGCTTGGATTGAGGAATCGGAGAGCCGAGTTCAGATTCCAGTCGAATTCACTTACGTGCTAATACCCTTGGGAAAGGTATGAATCCACTTTTTCTCCCCCAAGCTATGGATAAATAGCAAACAGACGGGGTTCTATAGGCGGGGTTCTTGGATGGCAACTGGTCTAAAATGGCAACCTACTGTTTCATCAGTCATGTATCAAAAGATACATGATCGCCTAAGCGTGTGTTATTAAAATCTTTACTTCAGAATTAAGCTATTAGCATCTTTTCAATAAGCGATTTAATTAGCGCAAAACAAAGCGATAAAAACTGAAACCAAAAACAATATTTTCAAAACAGACTAGAAGAAATATCCGTCGACCAATTGATAGGATTAACATCAAGAATTTTTAAATGAAAGATTATGTGAACGCTATCAGGATCTGTTCAATAATTTCGATGAACTTATGGGAACTGGTATTTTAATGTGATGTGGCCGTAAACACATCCATTCGCTTATTTTAAATATCAGTAAAACCTACCTTCGGACGACAGTAAATTCTGTTTAAAATAAATGTCGGAATACGAAAAAAAAATGAACCAACGAATAAAGAATAAAATTATTGACTTATAAACGTGTTTTGTTGATGAACCAGGTATAAAGAAGTGATTTATGACATTTCATTCATAATCAGGAGATACTATGAAAAGGTTAAACAAAAACAGAAAAAAAAAATGGAGGAGATACGAACGCTTTGATCACACGCATTATATTCCGTCTAAGCGATCATATTCATCTTCTCTAGCGTCAAGTGATTTTGTTTTAAAGGAACCACAAGTAATCAAATCATTTTATTTTTCATTCCCGGATCTTTTCTGCTACTTATCACAAAAAAAAACAAATCAAACGAAAGGTCAAATTTACTTGGTGGCAGGGCTGGTGCTTACTACCTCCTCCACCCCCCTACACCCACGACCGGCTTCAGTCACTTTTCATCCGCAGCTACGTAGCTTCCTTGTGCTTTTTCTATAAATACTTTCATGCCAATTGTTCTGATGAACTTTCCGTTATGGTATCTAAATTTTATGACATGAAGTAGAAAGATTCTATTGAATCAATTGCTAGGTCAGCCGCTAGGAAAGTTGGTTCAACGTGTCGTGATAGACAATTTATCTCGCCAGAATCTATCTTATGTTTTTATAAGTCGACCATTCCTCCTTGCTTTGAATATTGCTACCACATCTAGACTGGTGATCCTGCTATATATTTAGAGATTCTTGATAAAATCCAAACAAGAATCTGCAATGTCATTGGTCCTGATATGGCATATTGGCTTCAGTCACTTTCACAAAACCATAATGTATCTTCCCTGTGCCTTTTTTTATATATATATATATATATATATATATATATATATATATATATATATATATATATTATGAAAAACTAGGTAATCCGTATGGGTAAACCTAAGGAGAATAAAATCCAGAGAGCTCAATGTAAATCCAGAGCAAATAATTTAAATAAAAACAGACCACTTTAAGGTTTCATGTAATAAATTATTTCACCACAGCCATTTTAAAAGGACTGCGGATCATCAGACTTTACTTCCAAACAAAAAATGAAAAGAAAATTTACACATTTTTGACGGGCTGTATTAAACATATGTAAATTAACGAAGTGAGGAGGGAGAGAGAAGACATTAGTGTGTTAGCAGATATGGACACATTTAAACGTTTAACTTAACGGAAGTTATATATTGATATCGAAGGGGTAGAGAAGAAAAACCCATAGAGTGAAAAAGAGGGAAGGAAGTTAAGAGAGAAGATGTCACTAATTTTCTTTGTAACAAAAGGCTAGAAACAGACGCTGTTATTTTGTTTTACTTTGAAAGTGTTATTTATTATATATTTAATGACAATTATTCTGATGAAATTTCCTCTTTGTTTATCCAGTTAAAAGGTATTTCCGCGTTAGTCAAGCATTGTGCTTTTTTTTATTTTTTTATTTCTAATATTTATTTTGTTTAGTTTCTTGTATATAAATTGTAATCATTGTAAATATTCATTGTAGTTTCATTTTAAAATGTTTTAATTTTTATCTAAACCCCCATCCCCATCCCGCAAATACATTGTACATATGGGAATTAGTTAGAACTTCATAGAGACTTCTGGTATTATGGTGGCTTTAGTAGGAATGGCAAGTAAGAATGTGTCGTTTTGGTGTAAGATATACTGTGTTATGTGTGGGTCAGAAATTGTGGCTAGCTAAGATCAAGATAAGACAAATAGAAGGCCAGCATCCGCCCCCCCTGGACTTGTGCCACATTTTTGTATTTGCAAAAAAAATATTGCTTTCCTCTTTGGTACCTCGTCTTTACGAATTTAAACGCTGTACTAGATTGGCAGATAGGTCTCATCATTTTATAATTGAAATGGCTAGATGTAACCGTAAGTTCTAGGCTAACGGTTTCTTTTCTTATACTTTTGACTTGTGATTTGCCTAGTTCTGAGCATCCAGAGACGAGAGGGTCTATTGTTTCGGCTTCATTACCGTTTAAATGACCCGTTTAAGAGAATGCACTAACCATTTTAAGTAATATTTTTTTACACGCAACGACAGAATTACATTTCCTATACTGTTGTTCAGGAAATTTAATTCAGTCGTTGAAACCCCGAGAAATATTTAAAATGCGTTAACTATTGAAGAAGCTACACCTCGTGACCCCCACCTCATTGTCACTAAACATAGACACTTTCCTACCCAATCGTGATATTTTAACTCTATTTTACCATGGACTCAACATTATAAGAACCTCCTTTACAGTCGGTTACCAAGAGTTTGTAATATACAACAAGTTCTCCTATTATGATATTCACACCGTATTCTAGTCGTGATACAGCAGATGAAAGAATCAATCTATCTGTATTTATTTTCATTTGCAATTACCTCTACTTTCTGGGGTTACATGGCGTACAATCTTTTCATAAACATTTACAAACCACATGTGAATGCTTGAAGTATTTCTCCTTCATAAAACAGTCGTCTAATTTTACCTCATTGCTTTCAAATTATGTCCTGTGGGGCAAACACTTTTAAAAGAGGAAAATAGGGAGAAGAAGAAGAGAAAATGTCCATCTTTTTGCTCTGATTCTCGACATATTATGCTTTATAGCCAAAAGAAAAAAGAAATCCTGTGAAGCTAATATTTTAAAAATTAAAATTAGAACATTATTTTCAGTCGGACTAATTTCTTCATCGTTGTTATTATTCGCACAAATCGCAAGAGTAAACTACGCCAACTTACGCCAATTACGCAAGGAATGAGTAACATCAAAGAGAGCCTATATTCACGCATAAACGTTAATTAAGTTCCTTCCTGATCGGTTTCTCAAAATTGATCCCGGTCGCCCAGTCGGTTTTAAAAATATCAAAAATAGCTGGATCATTTCTGGATAGGGTATATATGATTTACAGACAGAAATCACAACTTGTGTAGGTTCAGTTACATCAAAGTTTATTATTTTAGGAACTTTATATAGCAACCTTACCGTCAGAGTACAATTTAGTATGGTAGCAGTATATACACAAATTCGAAAAATATTTTTATATTTGCTAGAAGACGCCCAGAAACACCATTTAATCACAGACCCGTCAAATAGTAGAATGTCATTTATATGACATCTTTGTACTTTCTTTGCGACGTCATTGCCAAGACAAAAGTTATTCTTTGAAAATACTTCCACGTTTCTGTTTTAATTCTCCAAAAATGAATGAAGACTTTGTAAGTTTGTATGTGTCTAAAGCAACAAATATGGGACAGTCATCGATGTGATTCACTGAATAAAAACAACGTTTTAGTTTAGATCTGTGGACAGCTCAGAAGAAAGATTTTAAACAGACTAATAATGCTAAAATTAACACGGAAGTCTCAGGATTACAATTTGATTCTTCAGAATAGATTTCTCCCACATTAATCGTCATATAGTGACCGTTCAGAATATAATGCTTCTTTAATCACAGCAGGTTTAACAAGTGAAGTACAGAACGCATACCAAAAGGATTATAAATCTAGCCTTCAATATAGTTTTTTTTTTCATTATTAATTATTGTATGGTTTAGTTGGGTAGGTATATTTCCTCTAACGAGGCAATGTAGAGCATCCTGAGCTTCTAAATTCACAAGCGGCATGCAGCAGTGGTAAATTTAGCTGTTCATCTTAAAAATGGACAGCGTGTATATTTCACAGTTTGACAGCGTTCTCCAAAGTGAACTGTTCGCCCGCACAACTGCTGTATGTTGAGGTCCCCCTCGATTACACCTGGGCACACAATAGATGGGGCACAAAATTATGGCTGGGTAGAAAATGCCGTCTTTAGAATCGGGAGCATAGGGCGGATGTACATTGTGCAACCCAATAAGCAGGAAGGTTTCTTTTTGCGTATGCTGCTGCACACTGCTAGAGGTCACATATCATTCACAAACCTATGAAAATATAATGTAGAAGTCGGGACGATTTACAGTGAAGCCTACGCCAAACATGGATTAATGGAGAATGATGCCCACTGGGACCAGACATTGTAGGAGGCGGCAGACAGCAGAGCACTGGGTTAACTGTACCACCTATTTTCCCTCATGTTGAAGACATGTGGCTTGGGTGAGCCTCTCAAGACTGGGCGACCCGCGAAACCAGCATGGCAGAGGACATCCTACGAAGGATCCAAAGGAAAACCTCAGCAAATATTGTCATGTTCAATGATACCATTTACAATGAGGCATTAGTTGATCTAGACATCCAAGTGAACGCTATGGGAGGCCAAAGAATTGCCACATTTTGCCTACCTCAACCTGATCAGGCAGCAAAAAATCTCGCAGTTAA